ATCTATAGCACGAAAACAGCCCAACAACCAGCGTAGTTATTTGAGAAAAACAGGTTATGGAGGTGGTTGTTTAGCCAGGTAAATCACATTATTAATAGTTTAAAATAGTATGCACAGGAAAAACCCAGGCCTCCTGTGTTAAAAAGAGAACTATCCATTTTTCACTTGAAATTATAGGTATTGTCATTAAATTTCTGGCGGTAATAACACAGGATTTCCTGCAACAACTGTGACTTGCCCAATAATTAAATCCTTGGTGCCAAGCTTAGAGTTGGGCACGTCTTTCTCTGTCCTGTCCCTGTAATTAGAGGGTGACAGCATTTTCTGTGTCGATCAAGACAAGGGCTGGGACGAGTCCTAATGGAAAATGAACAGATCTTCTCTATCAGCGTAGCCATGAGGAAGAATCAAGAAAACATTACGATATGGCTGCATAGGAAGTGTTTCACAAACTTGAACTTCTCCAGGAAGAAGCTCACTTAAATGAGGCCCTTCTGGTAGTTACTACCTTTCAGCATATCAGGGACCTACAGGACATGGGGCTGTAGTGGCACAGGACAGGCTCAGCTTTAAGGTGAGGAATTAAAGTAACAGCTTACTTTAGATTAACTCTTGATAAAGGTAATCGCCTCACCTAGAGTAGGTTTCAGCTTGTCCTAACAATTGATAGCAGTGGGTTCAGGATGCCAGGCATCTTTCAAAGAATGAGGCAAAGAAAGACTTCTCTAGACAGTACAAATTTCAAATGTCCCACTAAACATTCATTTAGAGGGAAAATGTAGTTTAAAATTTACTGAGCCTAGAATCTAACTCAGCTTTGTACATATAAATTCTCAAAATATTTCATAAGGTTTTAATATGATGTATTTTTTCCATGAATCTGACAACTATAAAAGCCAAAGCAGATCATGCTTGGTCAGAACTTTCTAAGAATTGTTCACCATTTTCTAGGATGTGAATATTTGTACCCCACAAATTCCTAGGTTGAAACCTAGTCCCCAATATGATGACATGAGGGGGAAGCACCTCTGGAAAGCAGAGGTGAGAGCCCTTATGAAAGAGACTCATGAAGCTCCCTTCTCCCATGTGAGAGGAAGAATGAAAGAGAGCCCTCTGTCCACTGGCAAGCTGGCCCTCTCACCAGACACTGATTCTGCCAGCACCTTGATCTCGGACTTCTCAGCCTCCAGGACTGAGAGGGAAAAAAATCTGTTGTTTATAAGCCATCCAGTTTACAGAATTCTGTGACAGCAGCCCAAATGGACTAAGACACCATGTCACCAATAATGGCAATGCTTCCAGGGATGGAGGAGTCACAGACGGACATCTTCTATCTGCATTTGTAGCTGTCACATCCACGGTGATTCCACTCAGCTGCGAGAATCTAGTTTCATTATCTTTGGCCACAGAGGAGTGTGCCAGTATTATGTGTTATATTACGCATCTTCCTTTTACTCATTCTATGTTATAATTAAGGTATTATATTAATGTTTTAAAAATGAGTATAATAAATTATCTCAAGAGAGCAAAGAAAGGGGCCCTGACTGGTGTGACTCAGTGGACTGAGCACCAGCCTGTGAACCAAAGGGTCACTGGTTCAATTCCCAGTCAGGGCACATGCCAGGGTTGCGGGCCAGGTCCCTGGTAGAGGGCATGTGAAAGGCAACCACACATCAATGTTTCTCTCCCTCTCTTTCCCCTGCCCTTCCTCTCTCTCTAGAAATAAATAAATAAAATCTTTTTTTAAAGAAAGAAAAGAAATATTACAAATATTCATTATACAAAGAACGCAAAAGATGGGACAGAGTAGAAAACTATTGCTTTAAAACTTACAGACACCTAAAATAAAATCCAGCACTTCTGGTTCATTTACTTATCCATTTATTTATTTATTTTGGGTTACTTGCATACTTGGAGGATTTTCATTTACATCAGAAAAAGCACCAATTCCCTGCTGGCATTTTTCTATCAACTACAATCTTGTGACAACCAATGCCTTCACTTTCACTTTCTTTTTATATTTTACTTTATCTCCCCTGCACGCTTCTAGCAATAAAGCTTTTAACACTTCAGAAGGCCAGGTGGAGCCACAGTGAGCGACACATCACAGGCCCCTTTGCAGCCCTGCCTCGCTTTGTTCCCCTAACAGCCTCGAAAATCAGCTTTGTCTTCTCTCTGGCATTTCTCCTTGAACAGTTGACCAAACATTAAAATCACGACCAGTTTGAATTCTTAACTTTCTTGATGCACGTGAGGTGTCCCTTTGATTATATAGGAGGCATTCAGAAATCTAAACTACCTGAGGTCTCATAGTCTTTTCATCACTTCCACATGATAACTTTGTGTTAATCAGAACCAGAACCAAACCAAAACAACAAAAGACCCACCCCAATTCGACCTTCCCATCTGTGACGTGCCCAGTGTCACACGCAAGTTTATCATCAGTCATTTTCAGGGTCAGCATCCCTTCACTTTCTCAGACGAAACTTAAAAATGATGTTCCCAAGTATAGTATGATCTCTCTACTAAGGACACAGGATTTCATCCTGCCCTCATACATTCTGTTGGCCACTCTCAGTAAGGAGGACTGACACCCAAAGGCACAGAGCTCCAATGCTGGGACACAGGGACCTGCTTGCACTGAACCCTGTGAGAACAAGAGTGGAAGGGAGCGGATGTCTAGCCCCAAATCCATGATTCACTGTTCTGCCAGGGATAAAAAGGAAAAACAGAAGGGGGCAGGGGACAATGCACTTCCTCAGGCCTAACAGGGGCCCTGAGAGATCCCATCGCTTTTTATGTGTCTGCTCATTTCATCCATGTATCCAAGAAGCAATGATCCAGGTCAGTCAAGTTCAGAATGCATGGTATTCCGTTGGGGTTTGACAGAATTTTCTGTTCTACCTCAGTCATTAAGGTATTTGCAGGTGCGTTCCACATCAACACACTACGCTAGAGGCAGTGAGAGACAGAAAAGTCTGAAAGATATGTGCAAGTCCTAAAGAACGTGAGGTCCAAGGCAGAGCCAGATATATCCAAATTACTATTTAGTAAATTAGACAGCCCACAGTATCATAGGACTACAAACAAATGATAAGAAAAAGATCAGTGGGAACAGTATTTACCTAAGTACCATCATGGAGGAAGGGGCATTTGAGCTGGGTCTTGCAGGACAAATAGGCAATGAGTAAATAATAAAAGGGTTTTAAATAATGGAACAATACAATCCTATTTGTGATTTAGAAGGATAGTTCTGGCAGTAAGGTCAGTAGTCATCATTTACTCACAATATGATGAAGCTGATAACCTAGTTCCTTTCCTTAAAATTAAACAACAAAAATCAAAAGACTCCATCACCACTGAACCATACAGTGATGCAAAGTTGTGCTTCACTTGTGCAAGAGATTTTAATTACATGGCAACGATCTATTAGGAACTGTGCCAGATACCAGAGGCAGAAAAAGAGAGTCCCTCCTTCTTTCCATCAAGCTCCCATCGGAGGGATGAATATAAATTCATGTTATGGGCACCATAAAAACAAAAGATAAGACAAAGCACAGTGAAACCCTTAATCTGGATATCAAAGGAGGCAATAAACAAGGGGGCCAAATGGACGAAGAGGCATTTGGGGAACACCGGTGCACATGCATGAGTCAAGCACTAAGAATGCAAGAGTTTTATAAAGACCAGTCAAGTGAGACAAGATGGCAAAGGAGACTGGAGCAGCCGGAACCCACCACTTGGGGGACGACAGACAGAGGAAGAACAACTGACAAATGAAATAAAATAGTTAAGAGGGTCAGGGGGAGAATCTAGCCAGCACAAAACAGTGAAGACTTCTGAAGAAAAAGGGAACTGATTCACTAACAATAAATGCCATGGAAAGGACAAGTAAAGCAAAACCTGAAACAAAGCCATCAGACTTGGCACTGGGGAAGGAGGGGGCAGCGCAGGGGTCACCTGTCGGAACACCTTCTGTAACGAGAAAGGCTGAGCCTGACGGTGGAGGAGGTGTGGTGTGAAAGGACACGGAAGCACCAGAGTCCCTGAATCTGGACAGTGAATATTGAAAAATAGTGTTTTAATACAAGCAAGATTTTTAAAGAAGTGTGCATTACCAAAAAAAAAAAAAAAAACCAAAAAAATGAAGACACAAAAACATTAAGAATAGAGTGACGAAAAACAAGATCTTTGATAATCCGATTTCATTCTAACAACGATTACAACATTCCTAATGATACACAATGCACATATTTCAATGGTGAATTTTAATTTTTATCTTGAGCTTGCAGGTGGCAAGATTTTACTTTTGGCAGTTTGACAGCTATGCTTGAAAGGGTCCCAAGACCTTAGTAGGTATCAGCTAGACAGATGGCCAAAGCACAAAGCCATTCTGCATCTTAGGTTTTTTTCCCTAGAGGTCTTTAAAACCAAACGGTGTCATTAGGACCTCAGGCTTATTCAGCACTTTACGACTCATGTAGACAAGGTGTTTTAAAGCTCTCTTTATCCTTCCACACCTGAGATGAGAGATGACCAGATACCTGTCCACTCCACTAAGGACACACAGAAAGGGAAAAGACAAAATTGGCTTACAACAAAATTATTTTTAAATAATAATCTTTTAAGTCAACATTTTTTTGGTTAAATAGGTAATATACAGGAATATGTGGATGGTGGTGGTGACATTTCAAACATTGTCACAAATCAATTTGCTTGTCCTTGTAAAGAAAAGCCTTATTTCCTAAGGTGACAACATAGATGACTAATGTTTTTCACTATACTTTTATAGTCAATAAAATAATCTAATTATTTTGAGGAGTAAAATTATAAGCGAGCAACCTCCAGTGACAATAACATATATCAACCCATGCACCGAATAGAAAGGAATTCATAATGTTAATCTTCAGAATGACATAAAATGCAGTAATGACATCACACAAATACTAGTTCTTCATACTGTAAGGAATTTAAGAATCGCTGGCATGAAAATCACTTACCTAGCTCTTCGTTTTCAATGACTTCAAATGTGGCCCAGATTTCACCTTTTGCAGGGATAATATTTTTTATTGCTAATATATCATTAGTTAATTCTTCTGCCTCCATCACTGGAGATATCTGTAAACGAAGCAAGATTTCTTTAGCATCCATGTCAGACATAGACGTAGCCTTGTGCTAGGGTGAAAATATTTGCCATTTATCCTCTTATGATACCCAAAGTTTCTTCTTAGTATGTTTAACTAACTTCTCTAGGTACACAAAGAAAATAACCTATTCACAACTTCTCCATAAAATACATTTCAATGTGAGTGCAAAAAGTTATCACAACATAGACAAAATCAAGAAGAAAATTTTTCTCAGTGAACATTTAATTCACTCAGAGGAGAAGAATCCACTTATTCATACACACAAAGACCATCACATGATTGCAAATCCAATGGTCTTCCCAGGAGTCAAACCTTTCGCTCATCAGTTCTATAATCAAGAGTTCAAAGTGTCTTGGTTTATTCAGGCTGATGCCTAAATTATACACAGCTGACTGCTGTCTGCCATGCCAAAGAGCCTCAGGGTTTCAGTGATCTGTGGTGTGCCCTGTCATGCCAAGTGACAGATGGTGGGACACCAAAGTACACTGCAGCCAGGATTTCAGGGCACAGGGCAGCGTCTGCAGAGCCAGCCTGGGGCCAGCTCTATAGGAGTCCAAAAGCCTCGGGCCACTTCAGAAGCACACCACCTTCTCCGGGGACTTCTGGAATTTCTGGTTTGCTTCTTCTTGTTTTTGCTTTTGCCAGTTTGAAATGCATGCTAGCCAGAAGCAAGTTGGCTTTCTTCAGTTAGAACTTAGTTATAATATCAAACAAATAAAAGATCTTTTTAAACATTAGAATAGTCTAACTGTGCATTTTCGGTAAAAGTATGTACCTATTTTTGAGTTTCCTAGGGAAAAAATGTGCTCACTTCCATTCTTCTTGTCCATTATTAACTATATTGCACATATATAAATAATATCAATATATTTCAATCCTTATACTTATACATTCCATCTTTTGAACTGTGTAGAATCCACTACTTTCTTTGGAATACCTTAATGAGACATAAAAATCCACTGCTTACTCTTCAGAAAAGCCCAATAAAGTATAAGCTTGAAAGAAAAAAATTACAGTATTTGGGAAAAGTAGAGAACTTTAGGCAGTAGAATCAGATGTTTCATTTCAATGAGGCTGTTCATCTGAATGCCTTTAACATTTTTTAAGTATAGCCTTTTCTTAAAATAATAAGTCACTGAGAAACCAAATTTGTCCAACAGTCAGCAAAGAGTGAGCTCCAGAATGACGTAGGAAAGAGGCCCAGAACTCCACTCATCTGAGGAGGGGCCCACAGCCTCCCTCAGGACACCCTCAGGACAGGATGGAGAACACTCTGGAAATCATTATTCTAAAGAATACATCAATCAGCAGAATGAATATCAGGTCTGGAGTATGAGAACCCAGGTCTGCGTTCTGGCCTTAATGAGTTTCAATTCCTAGTTCCTGTTCTTACAAACTTGGGACCTGTTCTACCTGCCTCCTTGGATTTAGTTACAGCTGAGATAAATACAACTAAAGACTTTTGCACTGAGCAAATATTTACAATTATTTTTGTATAGTTTTTCAATGTTTTTAAAGAGAATTTTAAAGGTAAAACTAGACAGTCCTTTGTCTAAAAACTGTACTTAAAAATAAAAACTTCGCTCATGTATAATAATTTATGTTATGGCTTCATTAGTAAGATAAAATCAAGCTGAGCAACTAATGGTTTAGGTGTAGGCAAAGTTAAGTCATGTGCTGTGAATAAAGACCAACTCTGACATTAGAACTGTGCTGGTTCCTCCAGTCCCCTGTGATCACCATCACAGAACCAGCACAGTGTGGACAAGGGGTTGCCAGACCACAGCCTGCGATCGTAGCTCAGCCCTGAGTTCTAAGTAAGGTAATCAGTGCTACGTAGTCAGAATACGTAATTATTAAAAATACATAAATCGACAATTACAATACAGGTTTAGCGAAACTAAAATCCAGAAGTATATAATGTTAAGACTGTTTAATCTTGAACTTTAAAAATGGTAAGAAGCTAAAGGTGAATTTCTCCTGCAACAAGGCAGAATGCCTACTCCTCATACAGAGGCTACAGTCCTCCTCAGCAGGAATTTGAGATACCACGGTTACTCTCTCTGAGGCAGACTAAGTACCGAATATGGTAGCAAGGCAAGGATCGTTTCAATGCACGAAAATTATTAATAGTCTTAGGAAAGAAAAGTTATGGAATATTCAAGTAAATTGGTAGACTGGAAGCTCAAGTCTATGACACAAGGGTGGGAGATTAATGACAACCATAATATTAATAATAACAGTTATTAAACACCAATGTGCTAAGCAATTTGCTAAGTGTTTTACATGCATTATCTTACTGAGTGCTCATATCCATGCTATGATGTAAACACTATAATTTTTCCTCACTTTACAGGTGAGAAGATACAGGCTCAAAGAGAGTAAATAACTGGCCTAAAAATGAGAACCAAAGAATGGAATGACCACGAATTTAAGCTCAGGTCGTTTTCTAGAACCTATAGATAGAAAATTCTAACCTTAACCTAAAGCACATAAGATGTGCTCTTTCCAATGACTAAAAACATGGACTTCCCAGAGCATATTTGTTGGAAAAGTCACTCCTGTCTTCATGGTTTGAACTGGACATGTAAAATAAGCTATAAGACATGATGAAAAATTCAAAACATGTATATTAATGCTAACACTTGCAATTCCCAAGGGTACTCTTTACAGTCATCTTTAGGACTCACCCGAATTATATTACTGCAGTCTGGTTCCTTCCTTTCTACATACACCTCAATTAACAAATCTCCAGCCTGGGAAACCTAGAAGAGGGCAGATGTGAAGACAGCAAATATAAGTATGTTGCAAGAACACACATAAAACGCTTAAGACAGTGAGAAAGTCCTAGTCCTACTTCTAAATATTTTACAACAGTGAAATCAGTCAATCTCCCCATTACCAGAGTGATGGCACCCATTTACCAGACATGGGCGATTAAGGACATGGAATCTACACAAATGTTACCCATCAGTAATACCCATCACAGTGAGGCTTTTTAGTCTCTTACTAAAGAGTTTAGAGTCCTCAAATACCCTTATAGTCTTATAGAAATAATGAATCTGGCTAGATAAAAGTATGCATGCTATAGCAATAGATGTTCTTACACAAAATAAGGAATGAAAATGATTAATTCTTCATTATATGTAATATAGAGAAGAATTCCATATATAATTCTTCTCTAAGCTATAGTGTAGGCTTGATACCAATAATTTAAAAAGGGAATAGGTCCTGCCAAATCTTCAGAGAAAATGTGTCTAAAAATTGAATCTGAGGATAAATTAGGTCAGAGTTATACTACAGAGAAAGAATACTTAGCAAGAAAAAAATGAAGGTGAAGTGATAAAAATAAGGTAGATAATAAATAAAGGTAAGTTTTTTATTATCTTTAGCCAAGCATTAGTGCTACTTTAGGTCACCAGTATACCTGATAAGACATACTAAGTGAAGAAGACACAAGCCAGAAATAAAAAGCATAAGATAGTGTTATGTAGAGCTTTACAGTATAATGTGGAGAAGATTAACAAAGAACCAAATGAATCTACGAAAAATATTTTAAGTAGCTTTTTCTTGAAATTCCCTGAAGTTTCATAACCACTTAGAAATAGCATCCATCATCCAATTTTTAATAGGGAAAGAATCATTCTGAAGTCAAATTTGCCTCAGAGTAAAAGCTAATGAGTCAAATTGTGGTGAAAACATTAAAAATGTACTTTGAAGAAAAGTTCTTAATTATTCTGACACTGTCGGCTTGGAAAAGCATGTTTCCAATTTTCCTTTCTCACTTTCGATGCTATACAAAAATACAAGGCAAGAAGAAATACAGTTGACATTTTTACTTTTCAGTGTGTTTGCATAAACAATTCTCCAGGAAGGATACGTCTTTAAAAGTTAAAAAAGCAAACAGCACACACTTGCAGAGGGCAGCCAGAAACAAGCACAGCTGAGCTGTTCTGGAAGGGTAACAGAGACTGTCAGAGGACTCCACGGGAGAGCCGGAGGGACAAAGAAACACTCAAGCAAAAAGACAGATTTTTCTCAATGCATTCACTTTCCTTTCCAATTATTCTATTTTATGGATAATTCCTTCCTTATTTTTACTTATTCTTCATCAGAAAGTATTCAATGCTCATTTCTTTATTATAATATGAATATAAAAGATAATAATGTAGAAGGGTCCTCATGATTTATGTGAAACAGAATGGATGATGCTGTCAACGATTATCCCTTGGGCGCACACAATCTCTTATTTCATGAACGAAACTCTCCCTTCAAAAGCAAGAGTCTGAGGGAACTAAATGATAATGAGCCAGATTTTTTTCTAGTCTTACAGCTAACTCCCTTGGAGGCTGCATTAATTACTTTGGGTCAAAATGAAGGAAACGCTTCTTCAGGAAATTAGTTTCCCAGGACTGGTACTTTGGGATCAAGGATCTAGAATGAAAGCCTTTCCTCATCTCCTTCCTATAGAACAATAGCTCAATGGCTTCTCTAACTAGGAGTGAAATTTTCACTCCTAAGAATGAGCTGAGTTTAGGGTTTGACTAATAAGGAAGCATTTGCCTCATTCTGAGTGCATCTAATAAACAGAATATATTTGACCCACTTCTATTCTTTACACTGGAGCCCTGAACACAGTATAATTCCCAGTTACCAGAAGATTTAAGATCAATTTTAAGCAAGTCTAATGAATAGTCATCAAGCAAGGAGATGTATTCAGCTGTATAGTACAACCTGAATACACAAATCCAATACTACTGAAGAAGGCAAGAGAAGGTCTAGAAAGTCAACTTAAGACATAAATTAGCATATGTTACAAAGACCACATAGAAACATTATTACTAATGCAATCCTCCAAGATCAGGCAAAGCAAAAGCACGTAAGAAGTAATTTATATGCTCAAAATCATAATCGATAGCATCACTAGGGAGCCTGAATTTTCAATTTACTCCAGAATTTTTTACTTTAAACGCTTCCTGTGAAACCCACTGGCATTTTCAATAGTGCTTTTATAAATAAAAACTGATTTTATAAAGTATATTTTAATAAGATCAACACTGACTTTTCCTTCTATATTTTGAAAAATTTACATGAATGAACTTCAGCATTTTGCATATATGCATCACGCTGCAGAAGTATACAATAATTTTATGCTGGGTCCCTCTGCCTGTTAATTTTTCTATGCTTCAAACAGAGACTTGAGAATAAACACAACAAATGGCTTTACTTACGATGAAAGTTTTTTTGTGTTTTGTGGGTTTTTTTAAAAAAATTAAAATTCTTTGAAGATCTAACTATTACTACTCACTTGAGTGTCTTTCCACTTGGTAATAAAGCTATTTTCTATGTCCATTTGTTTGACTTGGTCTTCTTTAACCTGTTTAAAATATAATTTGGGACACTCTAATAAAAAACATGGAGTGATGGTACTCATCCTCACATAAGTTTCTTCAGGACTTTAAAGACCAACAAGTAACAACAAATGAGAATGGCCATCCGAGCCAGTGTCGTCCCACACAGCTGGGGCAGAGCTAAAGCCAACAAAACAGAGCTTCAGGAAGGTCAGAACACTTTGTGACAACAGCACTTCAGGCCACAGGTTCCATCAACAGACGTCCCTCTGCCAAGGCAGTTCAGTAATAAGCAAAGGGGAGGTGACTGGCTGGTAGAGTCTGATTAGGTTGAGAGACAAGACTCTTTTCTCAAACTAAAATATTTCTTAAGTGCTCATGAAATTTCCATTGAAAGTTGGAATTAATGAACCTATGAAGACACAGTTTTATTTTTTTATTAATGAAACAGTACAAATATAAAAAATAAAGAGAGCATGCAAAGCCACACATTATTTTTCACTACTTCTTTCATTTCTCAGCATTACAAGTATTGCATAGAAGTTGCTGTTGACCAAAAACAGTGAACACATATAGAAAGAGATAAAAAGGAGACCATAGAGCAAAGAGAACATGACAACTCTGGTGTCCATTCCTATATAAATTAAGATACAAGCCACGGTTATTTTATTTTACAAATACAGTTCCTTCCTTGCGCTAAGGAATCTTGTAATCAGTTATTATAAAAACGTAAGAACTTTACAAATAGTAACCTAGTAACATTAACTCATCTGATTTCATCTAATATGTCTATAGCACTGGAAAACAAGTCATCTGTTAAAACACCACTGAATGGAATGCTGAAAAATGTTAAATTACAAAACGGAAATGCCAGAAAGGATGGTGGTGCTGGACCGCTGACCTGCAGCCCCTGCCACTTCCTACATTTTCAAACCCTGGCCTTATGTTCTCTATTTTTCCTTCTTTGAACTAAGAAGCCACCGTTGTTCTAACAGTTTTTTGATGAAATATGAAAATATTAACTTCATAAAAATAGCAAATTGTAAAGTTAACTAATTAGAACACAGATGACTTAGTAAAAAACACAGAATCATAATTCAGAACTTGTACTTTTTCCCCATTCAGTATACAATGAAAACAGGAAAATGCTTTTGAATGCAGAATTTAACAGTCTGGCATTTACTACTGAATTTGTAAATTCATAATTTCACACCTCTAAGTACACATACTGAGGAGACAAATACATAAAAACACTATAAATAGAAATATTCTATCCAGCAGACACCAGATGGTAAAAAAGCTTTAAAGCCAGCCAGATTTACAAAGCTAGTTATATATAAAAAATCAAAGATAAAATATAACTATCCTTTATCTTCCTTATTTTAAAATATTCATAAAGATCTGAATAAAAACATCATAAAATATGTATTTTTGTTTGCAAATTAACAAGAATACTATTTCAACAAGAACAAGATATAAAATATTTACCTCAAATATCTCGACATAATTATTAATTAGGTCCTCGATTACATTCACTTCTTCACTAGTTTGTCCCTTAGTTTGAAACAGATAGGACGAAAAGACCAAGGCCAAATTATGGGCATTCATGTGATTGATTTCTGAGCATTTCTGAACCCTGTTAAGGAAGAGCATAGCTCATTACAACACACTTCTACTTGAAAATTTCATACGACTATAAGTCATAACATTCATTTATCATTTTTAACATATATTGAAGGTCTCAGATACAAAAGATACAGTGGTGATTTAAAGATAAATGCACAGTTCTTTCTTCCAAGTAACTAACAGTGTAGTTCAGCACATAAGAAAAGACTACTACTGTTAAAGATATTACTACAAGTTACAAAGCAGTCCTTGAATGCTGATTTACAGGAATGCACTGTATCCAAATACTTCTAGATAACGGGACAACCTCTGGCTAGGGCATAAAGGCATGCATGCTAGTAGAATACCTTTGGGATAAGCTGTGACCTGCACGACTGAAGCATAAGTGAAAGGGAGAAAGGGGGTGGTAGGTAAGAAAGAAGGCAAGAAAGGGGAACCAGAGGCATACAGTGGACAGCTCCAAATTCCAGGGCTGGGCTGAATGTTCCAGAAACTGCATTATCAAGTGAGAAAATACCTGGCGGCTATGTTGGTATGTTTATTTAAAATAGAACATTAGCTCTCAAAAAGCAAACACAATTTAAAAGTACAACTACACTTTTCTTGAATATAACTAAGAATTGCTTCCTATAATGAACAGAGATAAACAGACAAATCAATTCTCCCAATCAGGAGATTATTCTTGGGTCTTATAACGACCATTTAACATAGTCACAAATGTAAGTTCAAAAAGATTAAAATTTTTTAAAAAACTACAGCCAACACTGTAATGAAAGAAAATGTATGTTGATAAAAATGCATGATATGAGAACATTAATGATTTACATGGGAGTACCTACAAACGCTCTCTGTTTGACACTGGCTGTATACACAGCAGACCTTTAATTGCCTAATTACATTTGTCAATTTATAGGACACATACTAAACAAGGGAGACCAGCTCCATCAAGAGAATAAAGCAAGGTTATGGTAGGTACACTTTCTGCAAGAATAGAGACTCTGGTAGGTACAAGAAAAAGTGAGTAAACATGACAACAATAATATATAAGAAACAATAAAATGCCAAATTGCATAGCAGAGATGGAGGAAGTGCATTCATTCTATTGATTTACAAGATGCACGAGGAATTACAAGTTGATAGAGAAGAATGTAATAACTGTGGACGCCCCTCTCAAAACCACTTCTGTACCCTTATCACACTGTGCTGTGAACACCTGGAAAATTTATCTGCATGTCTGACTCTGTTCATTGGGGCATCTCACAGCTGGGGACTTGCTTTAATCACACTGTAGCTCATAATAAATATCTGGTGAATGGAATTAAGGGAATGTTAGTCCTGGAGGAAGTAATCTTTTTTTCTAGGGCAAGGATGGAATTAAATGCTAAATCAACTTGACCTTATCCAAACTGACCTCAAACTTCTGACGATACTATCAAACATTTTCGCCTTGCTCGAGACTTCCCTCTGTGAAAGCATTTTCCTTTGGTACTCTTTATTTCTCTTTACTCGCTGTAGCTGCCTTCATAAGGAACGTACCATAGAGTGTTTTCCTTTTCTCCCTTTATCACTCAGCCCCCACAGGTCAGCACTCCCCAGTGCTCCTGTTCAGTTGCTCAGTCTCTTCTCACTCAAGCCTTCATCAGAAGCCCAAGGAAATGGTTTCCTAATCAGTCTCTCCACCTCTGTTCCAACCTCTTCCTGACCCATCCCACTACAGGGGTTATTATCCTAAAACAGATTTCATCACATAAAGGAATAAAATCAAAATGTTTTTGCACGACTGACAGAGCCCTTCACAACTTCCTGCCAGACAACGGCAGACCAGCTCGTCTCCTGGCACACCCACTTCCCAGTAACTATCCTTTACTCGTGTTTTATACTTGTTTTTATTCTATGCTCTGAAATGCACACGTCTGTTTAAATCTGAAGCATCCCCTGGACCTCCACACACAATGAATGACTCAATCCCCCCTTGAAAACTTCATTTCTCGTGCTAAATGTCTATGTATTGCAAACCCATCCCAGTGATGCTGGGCATCCTTAAAAAACATAAAATGCCCCACAGCACCCTGAGTTTTCACTGTGCCACTCCAGGCTCCCTAGTGCTGAGTTTGGGACCTGCAGACTTAAGACTTTTTTGTAATCTATGAATGATTACCAAATATTTCTGTTCACACGGACTTGGAATAGGCATTGTCTTGTATACAACAGAAGCTAAAATATATACATTAGTTGAAAAAAAGGCAGGAGGTAAGAAGGATGGGAAGTAACTTGTTATCTCAAATTCATATCTGAACTAATAACTACGTGTAACTCAGTGTTAATTAATAATGTTCATAAATTATAGCAGCCAGGCCACTATTACAATTTTTGAAGGAAAAAAATCTGTCCCGATGTCTCATAGACCTTGAGATAGGACCATATAGACTGTACAGTGTATTTGAATGATATAATATGAAACCAAGTTTTATAGTAATGGAGTTTACAGGCATGGGAAGTGGTGGCTAGAAAACATGAGAAGAAAAGACAAACTGTGGAGGATTTCTGAATACAGACTCCAAACGAAGTACTCTGAGCAGAATTCAGCTTCTCTGAAATTTACTCAAGGGAGTTTTACACCCATACAGGAAGCGACAACAACCTATTTCTTCAGGGACATTTACACTTAATAAAGTCTCTGTAATAATTTTCACTGATAGCAAAACAAACCTTTAACTTTAATATAAAAGATTATTCTCAATCATCCTCACCCTTCAGGTATCATTTCTCAAGCTACCATTATATTCCTCTGACCCTCCCCAATGCAGGGGACCACATGCCCTGACGCAGAAAATGTTTTTGACTTAAAATTTCCTCACTTGATCAACGGCCTGACACCAGCTAATTAGAGTCAGGTTAGCTATAAATTGATAATGAAGAAATGGGAGTCTACAAAGAGCTCATCATGAGACAAGCCAGGCTCACCAACTGACTCCTGCTTAAAGAATTCTGGCCACTGCACTTTAATTCCCTTCTCCAACTTCCTTTTTACATGAGTTTTCAAATTCTTGCTTATGCACTTCAGGATGCTGTACAGGATTACTTTCAATTCATTTAAGAAACACTCTAGTTTTTATGCCCTGTGATTACAATGCTATTTATTTAAAATGCATTGTAATTACAGAAAGAGACACCAAAGTGATAGTTTCATGGGAATTTCATTTTGAAACCATTCTTAAGATATAGTAAAATATCTCTGGTCATGGGTAGAAGGTTAACCACAGTACTTTAAAGTCAGGGTATCATCACTTATCAAGTGTCATGTTTGAAATAAACTAGAAAATTCATGAATCCACCTACCTGTAAAGGTGTTCGATTATAGCTGCCAGTGTTGCTCGGTTGACCCCTGAGAGACTACGTATAAATGTTCCATATTTTTTAATTCTTTCCTTGTCATCCTGGGTATCTAGAGGTTAAAAAAAAAACTTAGTGTGAAAATAATCATCTGTATTATGAAGTTACCTTTTAATGCTATTAGAAAACAATATTCACAGTTGTATTTTACTCCATGATACAAGTTTCAAAAGAAACATATTAAAACTTCTCTAATTCTAGGAAAATATTTACATAAACATTCCATGGCTACATGCTATAGTTCTTATATTTCATAATTAAAAATAAGCACTTTCAACGCCCAGGGTTGTATCTTATCTTCTACTTCATGGACCATGGAACTTCACCTAATGGGAATATATTCAATTAATAACTCAAAGTGGAGTGAAAATTAAAGAGATAAGCCAAAAGTACTTTAATTCTAGCTATAGAAAGATTTTATTATTTGTATTTGAAAATGATATTTCTGTCCCTTTTTCCCTGGTAAAATCATAAAAACATCTTCCCCAAACTAAAGCTATGAACTGTGAGCTATGGACTATGCAATGGACTGTGCATTCATTACCCAGCACACATGCAGAGGGAACTGCACGAGTCCTGGCATCTTCAACTCTGGAATTGGAAAGGGGACAAGAGGAAAGGGGACAAGAGGAGAAGGGCCTGTGCAGGCCCTGATGACTATGAAACTGACTTAGAAGAAAACGAACCCTCTACCTTAGTCATGGGCAGAACTTGGTTAGTCACAGAGAAGAGGGCAAGAAAGAATTAACTTCTACTCTCCTAACCCCAGGAAGTCAAATACTCGGAGAAATGAGACACAGGAACCTCTCAAGTTCTAGTTCCCAGGAGAAGTGGAGTGGTGGTTTGGTCTAACCTACTAATTCACAGAGGAAATAAAAGACCTTTCTTCAAATAAACAACTTCTGCTGACTTTGTAACTCAAGGGGATTGCAGTTACACAGGGGTTGGCAAAAGCAGGTTTCTAGTTGTCCATCTGGGAAAAAAAACACATGCAGGTTATGATTATTACGACTGCTTTATTAACCTATAAGAATGTCACAATACAACTGTAAACCTACTTTTGCCCACCTCTGTACATTTTCTCTCAATCCCCAACTACTTTTGGAAACAAGACTTTTTCATTTTGGGTTTAGCCCCACCTATTCTATTCACAGAAAGCCAGCAGCACATTAATGATTCCTTAAAAGTAAAAGGTCGCATATAAAGGGCATGAGGATGCTTGGGGAAGTAAGAAACCCTGTGGCACATTTTTGAAATACACTTCTATTCAAAACTGCAACTGGTACCCCTTTTTTACCGATTTAGCCTGCACAGAGACCCATAAAAGTAAACAACGTCATATTGACATACCCACTCCGGTGAGTGAGTGGCTCTCTAAAGGCGAGAAGGGCAAACACCCGAATCACATTCAGAGATTATACTGGAAATAAACTAAGAATTAACTATTACCCTTTGCATAATCCAAACATTTACCCTCATGTCATGCAGTTTCTAACTGTAGAAGTGATTGTATCTATTCAATAAAAAGTAATTACTACCACTACACTTAAAACAAGTCATGTTTGTATAGCCTATTTTCACAAACATATAAAAACACAGTATGTGACATTTTCAAAATACTTAAGCAAATAAAAAGTAAAGTGTAAGATACACTTCAGGTCACGCGGAAAATATAATGAACTATTCAACTGGCCACAGCCGTAAGACAATTTAACGGTGTTCTCGGAAGAGAACATCTACCGTATAAACAGGTGCTACGTCACTGTGAGGCCCTCGTCCCTCACCTGCACAGGACCAGACAGAGCTCTCCTGTGAGGTCACCAGGAGAGTTCTGGCTTAGCCCTGTCAGACCTAACACAGGGTACTTCTGAAAGGTCAGGGTGAGAGCTATACTAGAATGGGTTTAAAAGCAAAGAGCTTTGAGGCTATTTGACTCCGTATTCAAAGCCTTCTTCAAGTCAATTCTCAAAGGATTCATGCCCAAGTGAGAGGTGAATACATTCCTCTTTAACACACACTACCGTTTCCCAACTGCCTCCTCCTGATAGAATGACGTTTGAGACATCTTTGTCACTGAGTTGGAAATTTTAGCAAAAGTGTATTTGTCATGGATTTTTGATGACTGATTTTAAAGCAAACTGTCTTTATGAAATAGATACTGTAACTTCATAAATTCCAATCAAATCTTTTTAAAACAAAAATGAGGGTGGCAAGAGATGTATCATCTAATTCCATATTTTACATCCCAGAAAATTATATGATCAACTCTTATTGTGATTTGTGGAAAATCGGGAAGGAAATAAAAGACTTCTGACTCAGGTAAATAGTGAAAAGCTTTTTGTTAATAACAATACTACTCTCTTCTGGCTGGCACTTCCTGATAAGCGGCATTCTTAGGATAACTGTTCAAAGTGTGGATGTTTTGTGACATCATTTTAAAATTAATCCCTTCGAATATCCTATTTGTTTTAGAATAAACAAGTTTTTCAAAGGAAAATACCATTTTCCAACAGAGGAATATTGTCAAATTTTAAGGTCGTTCCTTGCCCCCCAAAAAATCTTAAAATAGATTACATGTGCAAGAAAGAAATATATTAGTAAATTATAGCATAATTGCATAATAAAAAATAAAAACTGAAGAAGATGAAGGATGAAAAAACACTTTGAAAGCACTGAAAACATATAAAAAACATCTGTGATTTTTTTAAATATATTTTATTCATTATGCTATTACAGTTGTCCCATTTCCCCCCTTATTCCCTTCCACCTTATACTACCCTTCCCAACCACATCCAATTTTGTACCTACTATTTATTCTTCTTATTCCCTGTACCTTTTCCCCCATTGTCCACCCTCCCCAGCCTCTGATAACCCTGCATGTGATGTCCATTCCTGTGATTCTGTTCCTGTTCTAGTTGTTTGCTTAGTTTTTGCCTTCTTTTCAGGTTCGGTTGTTTATAGTTGTCAGTTTATTGTCATTTTATTGTTCATAGTTTTTGATCTTCTTCTTTTCCTTAGATAAATCCCTTTAACATTTCATATAATAAGGACTTGGTGATGATGAACTCCTTTATCTAGTCCTTATTTGGGAAGCACTTATCTGTCCTTCCAATCTAAATGATAGCTTTGTTGGATGGAGCAATCTTGGATGTAGGGGTCCTTGCCTTTCAGGACTTTGAATATTTCTTTCCAGCCCCTTCTTGCCTGCAACATTTCTTTTAAGAAATAATTGTATGGGAACTCCTTTGTAGGTAACTGTCTCCTTTTCTCTTGCTGCTTTTAAGATTCTCTCCTTCATTTTAATATTGTGTAATGCAATTATGATGTGCCTTGGTAGGTTGCTTCTTTGGGTCAACTTCTTTGAGACTCCCTGAGTTTCCTGGACTTCCTGGAAGTCTATTTCCTTTGGCAGATTAAGGAAATGCTCTTTCACTATTTTTTCAAATAAGTTTTCCATTTTTTGCTCTTCCTCTTCTTCTGGCACCCCCGTAATTCAGATATTAGAATGTTTAAAGTTGTCCTGGAGGTTCCTAAGCCTCTCCTCAATTTTTTGAATTATTTCTTCATTCTGTTCCAACTGAATGTTTATTTTTTCCCTCTGCTCCAAAGCATTGAGTCCTGATTTCCTTCCCTTTACTGTCAGTTACCTGTACATTTCTCTTCATTTCACTTTGCGTAGCCTTTGCTTTTTCCACCATTTTTCAACCATACACAGCCATTTTTGTGAGCATCCTGATTACCAGTGTTTTGAACTCTGCATCTGATAAGCTGGCTATCTCTTTGTCACTTAGTTCTATTTTTGGCACTTTGATCTGTTCTTTCATTAGGGATATATATATGTCTGTGTGTGTGTGTGTGTGTGTGTGTATGTATGTATGTATGTATTTTTTTGTCTCAGCACAGCTGTTACAATATAAGGGGCAGAGCCTTAGGTATTCACCAGGCAGGAGCAACCCCCATGGCTACACTGTGGTGCTGTATGTGGGGGAGGGGTCAGAGAGGGAACAATGCTGCTTGCTCAGCTCTCAGCCAGCTTTCAGTCACTGTCCCTGCTATGCATAAGCAAATCAGGCCCTTCTGGTGCTGATTCCTGGGTGGGTGGGCTTGTGTACATTCTAAGACTCTGTGGGTCTTTCCAAGGAACTCTCCTGTGAGCCTGGGAATTTCTTCTGCCACGGCAACCCCCATAGGTTTTTTTCAGCCATAGGTTTGAGCCTTTATTTCCCCACACTGGAACCTTGGGTTGCATGGTCTGTCTTGCTCCCCAGTTGTTCTTTCCAGTTTATCCACATGTAAATGTGGGACCACCAGTCCACCAGCTACCACCTCACCCACCACCTCACCATGAGTCCTCTCTGCCCCAGCTGCCCTTCTCTGCCCCTCCTTCCAGTCTGGATGAACATTTCTTCTTTAACTCCTTAGCTGTCGGACTTCCAAACAGTTCAATTTTTTGGCAACTCTGGCTGGTTTTTGTTCTTAAATTTGTTGATGTCCTTCTTTTGGTTGCAGGAGGAGGCACAATGTATCTACCTGTGCCTCCATCTTGGCCAGAAGTCAAAAGGAGAAAGGAGTTGTTTTAATTAATGGATATAAACACAGGTTTACTGAAGTCATTTTGGCCAAATTAGTCACTTAATAAACTACTTTTCTGGGGTCATTTCTTAAATATTCGTTAAACACAATCCGGGGGAAATAAAGAATAAAAACTTGTCATTATGCACTCCAAACAGGAAGAATAAATGATGGAGGGAGGCAAAAAGAGCCATGTAGGAAATGTCATAGGACTGACCTTGTAGTAAACCTTTTATTTTAATCTTAATGAGAAATTAATCGCATACGTGAACTTGACTATCACGCTTTCCAAGTTCAAACTGAGTAAGAACTAAGATAGCCACTGAAAAGCTAAGTATATATAACACTGCTTAGCAATTATTACTCTAAATTTCTTTTTAGATAAACAACAATTGATATTTACACAATTTCTCTTCTGAGCCATATGTATAGTTTCCCCTTCAATTACATTTTCAGATTATCGAAGAAGAGTTTTAAAAACCTAACTGTCCAATTTCAAGGCAAGCATTCGTGGCCGTTTACACTACGTGTATTACCTAAAGCAGAGACCCAGTACGGGTAGAGCTCCTTAGTCAGCAGTGCGTCGTCAATGTCAGCCAGAAACCTCTTCAACACGCCTGTCACGTCTTCCAGCTGGTGTTTTCCGGCCCTCAATTTGAAGCTTCTTGCGTCTTTTTTGAAGCTCTCCAGGAGTTCACTTATACGCAAAGAATCGCCATCCTTTTGATAGATATATTTGCACCCTAAACCTTTGTTAAAAAAAAAAAAAGGTTATATGAAAAAAAATCTAAAATCAAAATCTACTTCAGTATCTTAAAAATTGAACAAATGTTTGCACTGGGATGATGAGCAAAACAAAATTACTATCTAAGTGCTGATGTAATAAACATGTATGAGAGGGAAAGGCTTGCCCTTCTAATTTTAGTATTCACAGTGTAAACCTGATGAAATATTCCGTTCTCAGCTTTTAGCAAGACCCTGGTCAGCCCTTCCCCCCAGTCCTTCCCGTATCTTTTCCAATTGTCCTTTTACAGCAACTGCCCTGTCTTCACTGAGTGCCCTGGAATACAACCTTGCCTCCAGCTTCCCTGATAAAAGTGAGGCTCTCTCGTATACATTTCCTCAACCCCCTGCCCTCATATTTCCATATTAGTGTCTGTCCGTTCCCACCTTCACCTTCTAAATAGAGTTGCAACTCCTTTTTTTTTAAACAAAGTTATCAATTCATCAAGTGCCCATATAAAATGAGAGAAATAGCAGTGGTTAGGATAAGCAGGAGCGATGACGATGATGGCAACAAAATCGATGACACAAAAACAAACATCCTCCCTCGGTCCTCCCAGGTCTCTTCTCTTCCTTCCAAAACTGAGCCTAGTTTCCTGTATTTATTGTTTCTACCATCTCACATCCCTGTTAATTCTTTAACCACACATTCTGTGCCTAATTCCCACTCTATCAGGACAACCTTCATCAAGAATATCAATGATTACTATTTTCCAGATGCTACTCAGTTTTTATTTAATGAGAATCCTCTGCAGTGTTCGACACTCCACATGAGTCCCCATTAAAATGACTTTAGTCTCATGGTTTCCATGGCATCATGATGTCACACCATGCCTGCCTTCCTCAATGGCTCTTCTGCCAGTCTTCTATTTCTTTTGCTCATCTGGTCTACACTGGTGATTCCAAGCATCTAACCTCAATTCTCCTCACTCCCCACTCCCCCACAATGGTCTCTGGGTAAACCCACCCAACCTCAACAACTACTTACAAATATTGGGCTGGCCAAAAAGTCTGTTTAGTTTTTTTGTTTTTTTTCAATAAAGACACATTTTTCATTTTCACCAGAAACTTTACTGATCTGGATCTTTTGAGTGTGTTGGCTATCTCCCACTATTGGCTTCTAGTGTGTAGAGGCCAAGGATGTTACTGAACACCTTCCAATGCATAAGTTGGCCTCAAACCAAAGAATTACTTGGCCACAATGTCAATAGTACCAAGAAACTTCGAAAACCACTTTTGACACATTCGGTCAGTTGCAGCATCTTCTCCATACACTGTACACATCTTTGTGTGTGTGTGTGTGTGTGTGTGTGTGTGTGTGTGTGTGTGTGTGTTTCAGTTGTGGTTTTACCTTTCTTGCAATAAAAAAGCATAATATGCCAAAAATACTGTGTATCTTCTTCTACCTCCAGTATTAAAATGACTGCACAAAATTCACCAATTCTGATAGGTTTTTTAAATGCACACTGATATAACAGCTGTCACAATACAATCTAACAAAATTGTTTTAAATAAAGTTAAAGACAACTAAGCACTACTAGAGACATACTATGGGAAAAGCTAAATAAACATGACCTTTTTAGCCAACCCGTCACTTTTCCATCCAGGTTTTAAGATTTCGAGCACAGGTAAATACATTTTAATAGACATATACCATATACACATAAGAAATATCATATGCATACATGTAGACAAATCAAGATAACCTGAAAGAAATTAATTCCCCTACCCTGTTCACTACTTCACCTCCCAATCTCAACACGCTCTTTGCTTCCTTCCTGCATCTCAATACATGGCAGTGCCTTCCCCTCAGTCCTTTCCAAGTCAGCACTTTCCTTTTCACTTACTGCATAAAAAAAATACTATGTCACATAGATTTTTCCATCATCACTTCACTCTCACACTCCCCACTTTCCTGCATCCTACAGGCTGTTATTTTGTGCACTTGGTTCCTCCTCTGTTTTACAAGTCTCTGCCCCTATTGTGCACCATCCAGTCTGTCTCAACAGTGATGACAGTGTGATCCAAGACACAGGTCCACTGGTGTCATCGATATGCCTAAAAATCTGCATCCTACCCTCTCACTGCCAGCAAGACAAGTTTGAGGATTTAATTGCAATATGCAGACCCTACTTGAATTTTCCTTGTTCTCGTGGCTCTTTTGTCTATCCCTTCTCCCACACTAAGTTGTGGGCACATGTAACTACACAAAGTTCCCCGAACAGAGAATTTCCTGTTGTGGAGACAACGCCCCTTATGACTCTGCACATGGGCACACACAGCCTCCTCCTCTTCCTTCTAACTAGCTCCTCTTTTCTCTTAAGACTCGTGGTAGGCACTGCCACACCCATGAAGCCCTCCATGCCTGCTCTGGGTGAGAATTACCCTTACACACATGGAAGCCTGTACCAACCCCAGACCCTCTCTACCACAGAATTTTGTACACTTGGGATGTAACTATCCATCCACTTGTTTGTCTTTGACCCGCAAATCTGTGAAGTCCTATTGAAGGCAAGGGTATGCTTATGCACTGGAAACAGCAGTTACATAGTACCTAGAAGAACTCAGTACATATTCAGTAAATGATTACTTAATGAAAGAATAAGCAAATTCTAAAACAAATAATTGTGACTAAGTTTCTGAGGTCCTATGTTCCTAGTTGAATGAATTTCTAATAGCTGGCAATCAAGTAAGTTAAATTTTGTTTATAAAAATTAACTCCCCCCGTGAACTAACTACTGTAACTCATTTTAAAAACTAAAATTCTGCCCTGGCTGGTATGGCTCAGTGGACTGAGTGTCAGCCTGCAAACCAAAAGGTCACTGGTTCAACTCCCATTCAGGGCACATGCCTGGGTTGCAGGCCAGGTTCCCAGTAGAGGGTGTGCAAGGGACAACCACATATTGATTTTTCTCTCCCTTTCTCCTTCCCTTCTCCTCTATAAAAATAAACAAATAAAATATTTTAAATTATCTTGAAAATAATAAATTAAAATTAAAATTCTAAAAATTATACTGTGAACTTAGTCAAGTTCAACCACTGACATAATAAACACACAAAAAAACTGGCCATCAAATTTTAACCCAAAGGTCAGGAGGTTCAAAGTAAGCGTGACCTTAAAAGCTCTGAGATGACCGACTGCGTCCAATAATGACTGGACATTTTCTAGTAAGATTGGGGTTTTCCCCGTGTTCTGCTCATTAAAAAAAAATTAAAAAAAACTAAAGAGTCTTTCATTGGCTTTATTACTTTAATATGCAAGTTAATGTACCTTGTGTTAGATTACAAAATGGATATAATGTATGTAATTTAGTTCAAAACAATCTAATGCTTAATGATTTTAAATTCAAATAAACATCACAAAGTAAGTTCTGATTTCCCTGGAGAAAATTATTTGTATACACTAGAGCTACTCAAGTTATTTTAATCATTTTTTCAGCTTAAGAAAGACTCTCTGCCCTTATGAAACACATGAGGTGAAAACTTTCAATGAGGGTATGCTCTTTCTAAAACATGACGTGTGCGATTCATTCATACATGCGAAACACAAGTGCGCTAATACTGAGTAACTAATAAAATGAAGAGGATAACCTTCTTTCTCTCCCATTTTCAAATGAACAGATGAGTACCACTGCTAAGAGATACATCAACATACTAACATGGGAAGAAGCCTCATAGAGTGATATTCACATAATGGAATTAAATACATATTTACAGAAGATACATAACACAATAAATCTGAATATCAGTGATAACTATACTTGGGTATAGTTAGTCAAGTATACTTAAATAAGAAGTACTTAAAATAGCACTCTACTTGTAACCCAAGTAGAGTTACCCAAGTATACTTAAATAAGTACTTAAAATAGCACTCTTCTTAGAAGAAAATAAATTAATATACATGTATTATGAACTTCCAAAATTTTTCTTTGTAGCTTTTGCTATTTCTGATATTTTGTTACGTCGGTTTATTATCAGTTCTCATGCAGAAACATGTGACTCACGGACTCGTCTTTAACTCTGCTCCCCCTGCCTTATTTTCGGTACCGAGATCAGTGGCTGGCACACAACAGACACTCGATAAATATGTAATAAGCTAAGAGCACAATGTTTTACTGCCGTGAATCACAATGTTTCACCGATAATACTTTCTTTTTAAATGAAAATCACCCAAACACATTTCTAATTTAATTTTAGGAGAACAAAAACATTACTGCCCCTTCCAAAGTACCAATCTCTACATCTGTAATCTAACTCTGTGGCGTTTATCTACAGATTAAAAGGTAGATGCATTTTTATATTAAAAAATAGTTAAGAAATGTCTACCCTCCAAAGTATCAAAGAAATCTGTAACAGAAAGAAGAAATTAGAATTCATAGTAAGTTGAAAATAAACATGAAGAATAAAAGCATCTTTTTGTACTTTTCTGGCATATTTAAGACACTACCATTGAATATTAAAATGAGTCCTGGCTGCTGTAGCTCAGTGGATTGAGTGCTGGCCTGTGAACCAAAGGGTCACTGGTTTGATTCCCAGTCAGGGTACACACCTTGGTTGCAGGCCAGGTCCCTAGTAGGGAGCATGCGAGAGGCAACCACACACTGATGTTTCTCTCCCTCTTCCTCCTTCCCTTCCCCTCTGTCTAAAACTAAATGAATAAAATCTTTAAAAAAAAGAATACTAAAATGAGGCTGGACCATGGGTCTCAAGATTTTTTTTTATCTGCACACTATTCAAAAAAGGTACAAGTAAGTCAGAACTATATTACAATCAAAACCATGACTCTTAATATAAACATAAGACCAATAGCATGGTAAGTAAAATAAATACATACACACTTGTATACATGCTGAAAAAAGTAAATTCCTGTACACACTGCCCCACAGTGTAGCACTTCCGATACCACGTCCAGGCAGCACACTGTGTTCCCCTAACTTCACTGCAGGCTTGTGACATCTGCAAAACAGTCTTTAAACTATTTTTACATACATTTTACAATACGGATCCTTTCAGTGTGCTATGTAAATTTTTATGCATGTAAAGGAAGAAGAAAATGGTAAAACTTATATAATTTGAATGAGCTTTACTGGGAGATGGAATGGCATTTAGTGATTACATTTTTATTTTTGTTTTTTTATTTTTTGAAGTGACTACAAATATAAAAGCCTCTAATTCGGTCCGATGGAGGTACCACTTAAAAACAGTGAGAATGATACTGTGAGTTCCGGGGGTTGAATAAAACCTCTGTGATCCTTACCATACTGTGTAACGAATGCTATACAGCTGTTCACGATAATGGGCACGTCGTTTTTGCTGAGCTGCTGATCCTGTAAAGCGTCACCATCTGTACCTGCTGCTTTCTCGATTGCAGTATGCCAGACTGTGAAATCCAACTTGGTGTGCCCGTGGATGTATAATGTCCTGTAAAGTTTAAAAGCATTTCAAATTATAATTTTGCTTAAAATAAAAAAGAATTCTTACTTCTAGACAAATGATCCTTAAACCCATACACTTGTGATCTTGTCTTATCCATGCGAAGAAAAACCCTCCATCTGCCATCAGCCTCCACGCAAAGCGCTCTCTGCCCTGCGCAGGCAGTCAACATCTCTCCCTTGAGCAGAGGAAGCTCTCTAACTTTGGGGTCTCACCTCCTTTCACACCTCAGCCCATTGTTCTCTTTCTGAGTACATGAGCTGAAACTGTTCTGGTAAGAATCACCAAGGATTTCTACTGGGTTTATGTGCCTGTACTTTTCAAAATTTCAGAACTGCCGATGATTTCATTTCTTATAGAAAAGACGGAGAGAGAGAAATTTCACCCAATTTGGCTTTTTAGCACAATTCTTTCTGCCTTTCCTCCTACCTTTCTTTTCTAAGCTCGCTTACTTTTCCACAAATGGAGGTGGAACCTCAGTGAGCTCATGTGAACTCCAAGGCCTCTGCAGGGATGTGTCCTCCAGGACAGTGGGTTTGGCCCCCTGTCTATAAATCAGTCACTCCCAAATCCCAATCTCCCGGCTACGATTTTGTTTTACAAACCAGATTTCCACGTAATCAAAAAACAAAAGTATGACACGGCTAAGACAGCAGGCAATTTGATCACTTCCAGAACTCAAATTTCAGTTCTGCACTTATTTCCTCTGTGACCTGGGAGAGGTTTCCAAACCCCTTTGGGCCTCAGGTTCATCACCGGCAAAATGAGGCTAATAAAAACACCTATCTTGACACTGGATATATGTTAATATGAATAACTAAGTAATAAACCATAATATTAAGTTGCATTAATTTTTGGACACCTTCAACGCAATGTGCCACAAGCATCTGAAAGCTTTCTGCCTCCTCCTACCAAACTAGTTCTACAGTTTTCCACTTACCCCACCCAAAATTTAGGATTAATTATAAATTAGCTTCCCCTACCCCCACCTCATCACTGCCCCACGAATTCAGTCACAAACTGCGGTTGGTTCCAGGTCCCTGCCATATCCGCTTTGCCTCCTCTTTGTTCCAGCATCAGCTTATTTCAGGTCCTTATTGCTCCTCGAAGTCTTAAAACCCCTCCACACAGAACACCCTTCCTGATCCTCCACTCCTCTAATCCCTCCTCTGTGGGGATGCCGGAAGGATCTTTTCCAAATGCAAAACTAAAGACAACACTTCTTTTTTTTTAAATTATATTTTATTGATTGTGTTATTACAGTTGTCCTGACTTTTTTCCCCTTTGCCCCCCTCCACTCAGCAACCCCCACTCAGGTAATATTCTCACCATTTTTCGTGTCTGTGGGTCATGCATGTAAGTTCTTTGGCCACTCCCTTTCCTATACTACATCCCCATGGCTATTCTGTAATGACTAATTTGTACTTCTTAATCCTGCCACCACCTCTTCACCCTTTTTTTCTACACCCACCCTCCTATCTGTTTATCTTTAATCTTCTGCATTTTAATTATGATGTGTCCTGGAGTGGGCCTCTTTGCATCTATCTCGTTTGGAACTCTCTGTGCTTCCTGGACTTGGGTGTCTACTTTCTTCACTAATGTAGGGAAGTTTTCTTTCATTAGTTTTTTAAAAATTATTGTTCAAGTACAGTTTTCTGTCTTTTATTCCCATTCCAACCTACCCCCCCAGTGCTACCCACCTCCCTCCCACTTCCACCCCCCTTAGTTGGTGCCCATGTGTCCTTTACACTTGTTCCTGTAAATCCTTCCCCTCTTTCCCCTGAAATTCCCTCCCCTGTCCCCTCTGGTCACTGTCCCCTTGTTCTCTATTTCAGTGTGTTTGTTTTTATTTTGCTTGCTTGTTTGTTTCATTGTTTAGCTTCCTGTTAAAGGTGAGATCATATGGTATTTGTCTTTCAACACCTGGCTTATTTCACTCAGCATAATGCTTTCCAGTTCCATCCATGTTGTTGAAAGGGTGGTAGTTCCTTCTTTCTCTCTGCTGCATAGAATTCCATTGTGTATATGTACCATAATTTTTTGATCCATTCATTTCCTGACAGGCACCTAGGTTGCTTCCAACTCTTGGCTATTGTAAATTGTGCTGTTATGAATATTGGGGTGCATAGGTTGTTTTGGATTGGTGTTTTAGGGTTCTTAGGATATAATCCCAGCAGTGGAATTGCTGGGTCAAAAGGCAGGTCGATTTTTATTTTTTTGAGAAAATTCCATACTGTGTTCCACAGTGGTTGTACCAGTCCGCAATCCCACCAACAATGGATTAGAGCCAGCATCATCCCAATCCCCAAACCAGATAAAGATACAACAAAGAAAGAAAACTTCAGGCCAATATCACTGATGAACATAGACACTAAAATCCTCAACAAAATACTGGCAAACCGCATCCAACAGTACATTAAAAAGATCACCATGACCAAGTGGGATTCATCCCAAAGATGCAAGGATAGTTCAATATTCTCAAATCAGTAAATGTAATACATCATATAAACAAAAGCAAAGACAAAAATCACATAATCATATCAATAGATGTGGGAAAAGTTTTGATAAGGTACAACACCCATTTATGACAAGAACACTCAGCAAAGTGGGAATAGAGGAAACATTCCTCAATATAATAAAGGCCATATATGAGAGACCTACAGCCAATATCATACTCAATGGGAAAAAACTAAAATATTTTCCATTAAAATCAGGAATAAGACAAGGTTGTCCACTTTTACCACTTCTATTCAATATAGTATTGGAAGTTTTAGCCACAGCAATCAGACAAGAAAAAAAAAATAAAAGGCATCCAAATCGGAAAGGAGGAAACAAAAGTGTCACTGTTTGCAGATGACATGATAGTATACATGGAAAATCCTATAGACTCTATCCAAAAACTCCTCGACTTAATAAATGTATTTGGCAAAACAGTGGGACACAAAGTCACTATCCAGAAATCAAAGGTATTTTTGTATACCAACAATGAAAAAGCAGAAGCAGAAATCAAGGAAAAAATCCCATTCGATAAAGCAAAAACAAAAATAAAATATCTGGGAATAAACCTAACCAAGGAGGTAAAAGACCTGTATGCAGAAAACTACACAACACTGAAGAAAAAAATCAAGGAAGACACAAACAAATGGAAACATATACCGTATTCATGGATTGGAAGAATTAACATCATCAAAATGTCCATACTACCCAAAGCAATTTAGAGATACAATGCAATAACTATTAAAGTACCAATGACATACTTCACAGACATAGAACAAACACTTCGAAAATTTATATGGAATCATAAATGACCCCAAATAACAGCTGCAATTTTGAAAAAGAAGAACAAAGTAGGAGGGATCACAATACCTGAAACCAAACTGTATTACAAGGCCACTGTAATCAAAACACCCTGGTACTGGCATAAAAACAGGCACATAGACCAACGGAACCAAACAGTGAGCCCAGAAATAAACCCAAATCTCTATAGCCAATTAATATTTGACAAAGGGGGCAGCAACATAAAATGGACTAATAATAGCCTCTTCAACAAATGGTTTTGGGAGAACTGGACAGCTACATGCAAAAAAAATGAAACTTGAGCAATGACTTACACCATACACCAAAATAAATTCAAGGTGAGTAAAAGACTTAAATAAAAACCTTGAAACCATTAAAGCCCTAGAGGAGAACATTGGCAAGAAAATCTCAGATATTTCACACAGCAACTTTTTTACTGATATGTCCCCCAGAGCAAGGGACATAAAGGAAAGAATAAACAAATGGGATCTCATCAAAATTAAAAGCTTTTGCATGGCTAAAGAAAACAGTATTAAAATAAAAAGACAACCAACTATATGGGAAAAAAATAATTGCCAATGATACCTCAGACAAGGGTTTAATCTCCAGAATATACAAAGAACTTACATGACTTCACTCTAAGAAGACAACTAACCCAATTAAAAAGTGGGCAAAGGACTTGAACAGACACTTCTCCAAGGAGGACATACAGAAGATCCAGAGACACATGAAAAGATGCTCAATATCACTAGCTATCAGAGAGATGCAAATTAAAACCACAATGAGATACCACTTTACACAGTTCAGAATGGCCATCATAAACAAAGCAACAAACAACAAGTGTTGGAGAGCTTGTGGAGAAGAGAAGACAACACTTCTTGGTCACTGTTCTTTAGCTCTGGAGCTCTCAAGAAGAAAATGTCTTCATGACCTGGCCAGCCTTCCCATTCAACTTTGCCATTCCCTCTACTCATGTCACATTAAACAAATTACATCTCCTTATCTTTGTAACACAAACTTAATAAATATTTCCTGTTCTTTGGCTGGCAACTCCAAACCTTCCCCCAGGTGTACTCTAGGAGACCCTCCCTGACACTCTAAGCCTTTGTCCCTGCTGTGCTTAGTAACGGGTCCCTTCTAAATCCCCATGAATCCCTCTGCCCTCCATTATGCCATCTACGCTATGTCTGAGAATATTTTATTGATTGATTGGAGAAAGAGAAAAGGGGAGAGGAAGAGAGAAAGAGAAATATAAATTTGTTGTTCCACTTATGCATGCATGCATTCATTGATTCTTGTATGTGCCCTGACCTGGCATCAAATCTGCAACCCTGGTGTACTGGGACAAGGCCCTCCAGCCAGGGCCCAGACTATTTTAGCTGCTGGACTCCAAATATCATGCAGGTAAACAAGGGAGGCATTTCAGTCTCTTTAGTCATTAGTATGGTGCTTGACATTTAGTAGGTACATAATAATTGTGAAGTCTTATCACTAGATACAGTGAAGCTGGTTTCAAATCAATTTTTATTTATACTGAAGTAAATTTATAAACATACCGAAGTAAACTTATAAATGTATATTTATACCAAATCACAACTATTTAATCTCAGTTTCAAACTGTAATAGGGCTATTGTGGATTCACTGAAAGAGAAGAATGGGCTGTATAAATGCTGGGGGGCTGTGGTTTTTT